CCAACTGAGCCACTCAGCCGGCCCGCAAGTGTTTATTTTTAAGCCAGACATGAAAAAGATTGGCAAAAAATAAAAACATAAAAAAAGAAAGCCCTTACAAGGGGCACTTACTTCACCTCCCACTTTCCATAATCTTCCTGATGGGTTGACATTTTTCTTTTAATGAAGAGACAGTTGGTGAGGTGGTTCTTCTGACAGTCTGCCACTGGAAAGTGCTCTCTCCCCAGGAAGAGAAAAAATATTAACATCAATTGTCCAGTTAATCCCTCAAAATTTTTCCTAAAATATTAAACTCTTTTAAACTGGCAATTTTCCAACTTAAAGATCACTTCAGTAAGGCTATGAAGGATAGCATTATGTACAACAAATCTTTTTGACTAGTTCAGGAAATATAGATTAAAACTTGAATTTAAAGTCAAATAAACATCCTGTAAGTCCAGAAAATACACCGAGGGTGCCAAAAAAATGTATACAAGTGGACACTTTGGTCAACGTAGCTCAAGCAGTAGTTCGCCATAATCAGAAGTGTCTGGACGCTGATGGTCACCACTTTGAGCACCTCTTGTAATTGCAGAAGTCAAATGTGACTTGTATTCATCTTTTATTATCGGTATATATTGAGTATTACAATTTTAATACCGTTTTCCTTTCTTAAAATGTGTATATGTTTTTTTGGCACCCTCTGTATATTATCATGGGTGTTTTTCAGGAACTTATATTTACTTAGCTAAAATATTTTTAAAGTACTCTCCATTTTTGATAAGAATTTTGCTCTTGAAAAGAACAATCTGTTATTTACTTTAATGATGAAACTGATGGTCTTTGAGTTGGTTATTTTCTATAAAGCGAGGTGTCAGTGGTTCTCTAAGCTTAGCCTATAGTAAAGTTATAAGATGGATCACATTTATTTTAGGTGCAAAATATATTGGAAACAGTCATATTTATGGGGAAATGAAAGAAAATGGATTTTAAAAATATATGAAATGAACATTTATGAAGATCTTGGCAAAGATTGATAAATTGTTTTACAGCTAGCTGTGTCATCATATTAGAACAAGTAAGGGACAGGGGATTTGTTTTAGGGAGAATGGATGAAACTAAAATTATTGCTAAAGAAGAACTCATTTCTTTTTTTTTTTAAATATTTTTATTGGGGAATTGGGGGGATGGGAACAGTGCTGGGGAATTGGGGGAAGGGG